AAGTACAAAACATTGCTATGGTAATCTTTTTTGACCGCTTTTCTATGCCATACAAAAAACTATATCTTTTACTGATTAATTGAATATTAAGATATTTAAGACAAGAAGCACATTGGAAAATATATTGTAGATCTTGAAATTCACAATATATACTAGAAATAGTCAAATGTTCAATATTTGACGAGACATTCACTAAATCACTCCAGTTCGTACGATCTAAACTGCCCATAAGAGAAAACCACTTAAGCAATTTTAAGGAGAAAAGATTGACAATAATATTTTGTAATGAAGATCTATCTTCTCTGTTTATTGCTTTGATTGATAAAGTGTCAATAGTCCCTTGTGATGAGAAATTAAGAGCTATTTCAACAGTTCTTCAACTGATACTTTGATCATTAAAATGAAAATATAGTGTTCGAAGTTGTTTAAATGATGCAAATGATGGATAAAAAGACAGAAAAGCATACACTTGACCAGGTGTATCTTATTCTGATATGGATAATTCTTCTGTTTTGTCGATACAAGCTGATAAAAGACCTATGCTAAAACGAAATCTTTGACATTGAGTAACAAGAATATTAAAACGCTGATGAGCTGAAAGCCGAAAGCTCTGATATGAGAATCAAGGAATTGCAACATTGTCGCTATGATTCTCGTTGTTGACAGATGTCTTACGACAAACTAATAATCAGGATATTATTCTGTAGAGAAATGTGCATTCTTCCATTTGATGTTTTTGTAATATATTTTAATTCTATCATAGATGGTTTTTCCGCACTAAAATCTATCCAAACTTTATTTTCAGTTCTTTCATGAGTTACACAAATATTCTCATTTGAGATTCAGAAAGAGCACACTGCTATTCTTCTAAATCGACCAAAAGATAAAGAAAAATTTTGTCACAAAACTTTCGAGTCATCCATCATTAATAAAAAAAAACAGATGTGTTCAGAAATTTTTTTTAATATATGACGAGCATGAAGTCCGGTGGAATTGATAAAATTCAATTCTGAACAAAATGATATGATTGTTTAATGGAAGAATAGAAATATGAAAAAAAGAACAATCATGTAATTGTGTCAGAAAAGAATTTCTCATATTTGTAGCATATTTGAAATTTCAGCCAAGCCTTTATGAAAATTTTTTCGGTCTATGGTCGTCGCACTTAGACAATTAAGTGGGTGCTGATCTTTTAGATTTTGCACCAACAAAAAAAGTTATTTAAAAAACAAAGATAGTTACTCGGAGAGCAGAAAATTCTCCATGGAATGAGATTAAAGTGAAATTTATTAAGCGCCACCGGTTACATAGATCAATTGTTTCTATTGAACTCTGCTTTGCTTTATCCGCATTGTAGACGAAAACTTTTAGTAACATAGTTCTTTTTTCTTCTTCTAAATTGAATCGAGAATACCAAACTACAATTTAACCCGATGGGTTCTATCCGTGACTAAGTCAATTTCAGCTTAACATGTTAGAATTATCATCTGAAAAGAAACTTTGTTTATATGAGTGAGATTCTTAAAACCGCAGCGCTCTTTACTGTATAACGATCACAGTAGTATTAGGAAGATGCATTAATTGCTGAAGCGAATTAATTTTAATAACATAGTCAAATTCATAATAGCTTCAGTTTAACAATTCCTTGTCGGAATATTTACAGTTGACAAAAGAATTGAGGAAAACTAAATATTGGTATACCATTTTATAGAGAAATATTTGTTCTTTCATTCGTCATTTTATGTAAAATAATTTTCTCATCTACTTTCAGTAAGTTTTGACATACTGAAGCTGTTTCAAATTCAAATTACTTACCTTGCAAATCCCAGTTCATAATTCTTAAAGCATAAGACCTACAAAAATTTTGAAGCTATATTCAGAAACAACACAAAATCTTGATTATAACTCCATGTTTTCAAATTTCTCTAGGCTTCTTTAAAAAGCTGAAAAATAAACAAACAATTTGTCAACTTCAACACATATCAAAAGCTATACCTTTAATGGCTTTAAAAGACGTTTTAATGTTTTATGAAATTTCAAGACTAAAGCTTCCGCTCTAATTGATAAAAATCTTCAACAATCGAACTTCATTCGAATTTATCTGTTCATATAGATTCATTGTTTATGAGACTAGAAGATGTTCAAAAAAAGACGGTTCTGACTTCAGTATCTAATCTTTCCAAAATGAAGAATGATGCCTATGACCACGTTTAATTGAAATAGAGGAAAAATAATAAAGTGATTCTTTTTTTTTTTGTAATCCTAATGCTGATTCGGAGTTCAACATTTCTGAAAATACAAAAATAGAAAAAAAATTCCTAAACAATTGTCTATCAAATTTATTAAAACAATAAACAATTATTCTATATCATCGTGTTTTGCACGTGGTTTTTGAAGATCATGAGGTGTAAAAGCTATAGGTAATAAATCTCGAAGTTTATACACTTTCGATTCATTTTTTGTATTGATAAGATAAACATCTAAATCAAGACCAAATTCAGCTAATGTTTGTCGACATGAACCACATGGACCAGTAAAACCTAATTCAACATCACTAAACAAAAAATCATTATATGATGACAACTTTTTTTTCTTCCTTTTTAAAGGTAAACTTACGATGTAATTACAATTTTTCGAAAAGATTTTTCACCTTCAGACACAGCTTTAACAATTGCTGTACGTTCAGCACAAGTTGATAATGGATATGCTGCATTTTCAACATTACATCCAGAATATATTTTTTCAGTTGATGTTAATAAAGCTGCTCCTACTCTATTCAATTAAAATGAAAAAAATATATAATCATACAAATACGTTCAATTTGTACCGAAAATGTGAATAAGGACAATAAGCTCTATATTTAGCCAAATGAGCTTTATCAAATAATTCTAAAAACAAAAGTGCAAATACAAATTTTTCTTTTTTTTTTGAGTATGAGTTTCGATTTCGATAGGTCGATGGCCAAGATTAACATGTTTTCGTTAGAAACAATTCTCTATATGTAAAATCATGAGAAAAGTAAAAATTTCCTACCTTGAAGTTCAACTGATGTTGAACCATTAACAATCTCTTTTTCCATTTTATACTTATGAATAAATATGAACAAGCAAGTAAAACTTATCTATTTATATCAATATATACAATTGCCAAAAACAAAAAACTATTTATATATGATTGCATGCCAGCAAACATAGACACTTAAAACGAAAAAAAAAAAAAAGAACTGAAAATCAATACAGCTGTTATTTATCACATAAAGGAAAAACAAAATAATGGAAAATAATCGACACACACTTAACTCTAAAACTCGATAGACTAGATAATTGAAGATAAGAAAAAAAAAACAAAAAAGAGGAAAAATTCAACATTATGTCAAGTGTTATTTTTTGATAATAAGTTTTATAGTTTTTCAATTGATGCTGGATTATAAACATTATTTTTTCCTGTATTACGAATCATACGAGGTGATATACCTCTTGATGGTGCTTCTTTTGATTGAAATGTACTAACAACTAAATGATCATGTAAACTTGTTCTTCGATATGTTGATAAAGATGTATCATTTAATGAATTATAATTTGAAAATGTATAAGATTGTGATGTTGGTGATATTGATTGATGTGTTGTAGAATTCACAGTTGATAATGATTGAGCAGTTGATGTTGTTAATAATTTTGGTATATTAAAACAAGCACGACGTATTAAATGACGAGAATTTGATTTTGATGGACGTATTGTTCCAGGTTTAGAAAGTTCAGCTGAAATAAAACAAAAAACAAAAAGTTTATTTAATCTATTCTTACAAAATATTGATATTAAATATTCAAGTGAATAGAATTTTTCGTTTTTTTTTTTTTTGGAAGATTAGCAAATGATTATATATTGATCATAATAAGAATAAAGCTAACTTGTAATAAAATAAAAAAGATAGGAAAATTTATTTTTTTTGCTTTTTGTTAAAAAAAAGGTGTATTAGTATAGAGAGAAAGCAAAAATTTTTGCCCATAAATTTGAATAATAAATGAAATAATATTTAGTATTCTTTTTTTTGAGATTTTAGCATAATCAAATAGTTAATTTAGAATATTGACCTATTAACTTACCTGTGTACTTTTTTTTTCTAAATATTAAAATAGAATAAGAGAAATATTTGATTTTATTTCTCATAAAATTATGAAATGCTTCAGAAGACAAGATTTTTCAAAAATGCAATAAAACACGAAGGGAAGATGCTTAAAAAAACTATCCAAGAGAATATTTTTCTAGATAATATGACAAAATTACCTTTTTGTTTTTTTTTGCTAAGGGTGTTTAAATGAATTTTCAAAAATTCTTGTCTATTTCAATAAAATTTTTGTTATTTTTTATTATTTACCTAAATGCATAACATAACCATCAACAATAAAACATGCTTGTCCTTGTAAACGATGTTTTACTTTTCCAACAACAAATATTCGTTCAGCTGGTACATGAATTAATTGATAAGCTGGAACATCTTTTGATGAACCATATGCAGCAGCAATAATTAAATCAGCATTATCAACAAGATTTCTTATCATTTCAGCTTTATGTTTAATTGGTTCACGACATATACCATCATTAAATAATGTTAAACCTATATGAAAAAAAAATGATTTACTTTTGTCATTTTTTTTTTTTGTTCTTAACAAACCATGAGGAAAATTATGTTGAGCAAGCCAATGAATTACATGACGTTGTTGTATATCAGGACGTGCAGTTACATATATAATAATATAACCAAGATCTTGCCAATATCTTTATAATTAATATGAGATTTGTATTTTTTTTTAAATAAAGTTTTATTTTTTTAATCAATTTACCTAACAACATCAACAGCACCTGGACGTACTTTAGGATTATGATGACTAACAGAAAAACTTGATGTAAATGAACCATCAATACTAAATAGAACTGCTTCACTTTTTGGTGGTAATACAGTTAAATAAAGATCAACTGTTGTATGATCACCACTAGATAAAAACAAAGAGTACATTTATAGTGAATTCTCAAGAGATAAATTATTGTTTTTAGAAAATTGAAAATGTCATCATATTTTTTAGTTAGCCTATCTGACACGAAAATATTATATAAATCGACTAGAATTCTATTAATAATAATCTAATTCTAATCAATTTCTACTATTCCATACATAGATTTTTCTTTAAAAAGTTGTCTAGAGATTCCACTTCTTAGAAATCTGATACTAATTTTTCATATAATAAACGGGATAAAATGTTTTTATTCTCTTTAGGGCACTTTCAAATATATTAGAAACTTCATCTTAAAGAATTATATAAAAAAGTTAAGTAGTTGACATTGATGAATAAAAAATTTCGTGCTCATTGCTATGGTGCAGAAGAAAAAAAAAGGCTTTGAATTAACACTTAGTAATATTTTGAGACGTATTCTGGATCTTTTAAATTTTGCATCAATCAAAAAACAAAAAGCTTGTCGAATAGGAAATTCTCCATAGAATAAGTCTCAAGTGAAAATCTCTATGTGTTGAGAAGTGATCTACAACGAATAAAACATAAGATTCTGTTAATTATGTGTCACTTCCTTGTTTATTTTGAAATATTTTTTGTCCTATCAGCATTTTACAAAAAAAAAAGAAGTTCTTAGTAACATAATTACAGATTTAGCTTAATATGAATTTATTTTAATAAATTCTTTTTTTTTACCGAACAACAAGTTTAACAGGATGTAAACCTAATGATAATTTTTTTTCTATCGGAATGGTGTAACGTATACGGCCATGTGTATCTGTTTCAATAGTATCAAGTAATGTCCATTCACCATATGGAGCTGATCTCATAACATAAATATTAATTTTTTCATTAGCTAAACAGACCATATCAATAGGTCCATAATGAAATTTAGCAGAAATTGTTTGTGGTTTAGCATCAACAATTATAATATCATTTGCACGATGATTTGGAGCTAAATTCTAAGAAAAACAAAAAACAAATTTTCTAAAACAAAAAAAACTTAAATTAAATTACTCGAATTTTTACAGCTGTTGAACGATGTAACCAACGTTCAGTTATTTGTTCAGAAGCAAATAATGAACGATTTTTATCTGTTTTCTTGCTATTTAAAAGATAATTTTCTTGATTACGTGTAATCTAAAAAGGAAAAAAAAATAGATTTAATATTTCATAAAAAACAAAAAAATGTTTCAAAGAAATTTTTTACTTGTCGTAAAATAAATGACATAACATCACGAGATTCCCAATAACTTGAATGGAAGACAATAGGTAAAACATGTGCTGGTTGACTCATTAAAAATTCAGGACAATAAACAATATAATCGACACGTCTTGAACCCCACCAAATTTGTCGAACTAACAAAACAAAAAGATTTTTTTTTTTTTCAAAAAATTTAAAAAAAAAAAGATTAATATCAATTACTATTAGAAAAAATTGTATCAGTATTAATTAAATTATTTTCATTTGTTGTTGATCGAGCTGAATTTATTAATGATGAACTTTTTGAATCATTATTTAAAAATAATTTTGAATATTGATGAACATATTCAACTATAGATACATATATATATATAAATAACATACATCAATATTTATCTTACCAAGTAATGTTGATTCACCATCACCTAATGGAAATTGTGAATAACGAGGAATGCAACAAGATGGTATCTGGCTAAATTCGGATTGTATTAATGGTTCTATACGAGATGCATTTGGATCACATGCATGAAATAAATTATACAATTGTCCACAATATGGACGAACAACTATTTTTTTAAAAAAGAAAGATATTTTTTGATGTAACTCTTAAGAAAATAAATTACCATTATCAGTAAGTAATCTACGATATGCAAGTATAAGTGAAAGTGGAGAACCAAATGAAAAAAATTCATTAACATTAAATATTAACATTAAACCATAATTATCTTGTTTTCCACGGAGATTATCACCTGTACGTGATCTAAATAAAAAAAAAATTTATTTCATTTATTTAAATAGATATAGAATTATTTTTTTGTTACATGCTATCACCACTATCAGGATTATCAATTGTTGTTATACGTTTTGTTATTGTTCGATTTGATGATTGAACAGATGTCATATCATTATTTTCATTTTGAGTACTTGTTATTATTCGTTTAGTTAAGGCTGGAGTACGTGGTGTTGAACCATCTATTATATAAACAAAACAAAAAAAAAAAACATTAAAATCTTAATCTTTTTTTTTTTTTGTATAGTCTTCAAATTATTATCTCTAATTATGTAGTAAAAATTTTAAGAAAAAAAAAATTATTTTTGTTTTTCAATTAGAATAAATGCAAAGCAGCTTATCATTATCAATAATTATATGTCATAGATGTGATTACATTCAACCGTATGAAATTTGATAAAAAGAATGAACTAATGTCAAATATTGTCATCTACTCAAAATGTTTTTAATCATCTTCATATATCAAACAAAAAAAAATGACAATAAACACTAGTCTTAATATTAAAACAAAAAAAACAAACTACGAATTTAAATATTCATTAATATGAATACATACATTATTTTCAAATTAATCAAATTAGAATATAAAAAAAAATTACCTTCACCATATAATGAAGTTGTATCATCAAAATTATGATTTAAACATAATGCATCATAAGCTAAAATTGCTCCATTAGCATCTCCAATAACAATAACCTTTGAAAAAAAAAAAAGAAAAAGATTTCTTTTCACATATTATTATAATTTACTTGTCCAGAAAAATATTTTCCTTCTTTTGATGATAAAAATTCTTGATAAACTTTATTTGCTGATTCAATAGCATTATTTAATATAGTTTGATAATTTGTATTTGATATAGCAAATAATGGTATAGCATTTATTGGTAATGTTTCACTATGTGTTATATCATATGATAGATTTGTTATTCTATATGGTGATAAATTACTAAGTAAATTAATAGTTTCAATACATATTGAACGACATTCAACAAAACGTATAGCTGTTTTTCCTTGTAATCGTGGATAATGATTATGTATAACACTATCAAATGTTGTACGAAAACTAAGAAAATCAGTTTG